AAACAGTAAAAAATGTATTCACTGTAACTAGAAATTTAATTTGCTTTCCAAAGCACAACTCTGACGCATCCAGCGAAATGCAATAATCCTCCATTTGGACACTCGTGTCTCAACTAAATCTCTGACAGCTAAAAGAAAAAAAAAACCCAGCAACATCTTACATTTTACCTACCTGTCTGCCTTTCCAGGCCATGCACATCCCCCCAATTAATCCAATGCGTAAAGACAACTTACAAAAAAAAAGCAAGAGAAAGACGAGAGAGAGAGAAGCTATGTGGAGAATCTGCGCCTAGCGTTTCATACTCGTACATTCCCGCGAAGTAGAAGAGGCAGCTCTTCTTCATTTGGCTGATAGGCTGTTGGGCGCCTGGTTGCAATGCTGCACGTCGCTCGTTGCAAATGGCTATGTTGCCAGTTGGTAGTTGGTCGCTTCCCAGCAGGGAAGACAAACGCATGATCAAATGTCACAATCAATTTCAATTTGGCGCTCGAATTGAGCTTCGTTAGCGGCAGCTGGCAAAGAAAACGAGCTGGCTGCCAGTTTGATTCAAGGCACAGGATGATGCCAAGCGTATCCAAAGTCGAAAGCCAAAGCCAATGTCGAAGCCAACTTGGCTGCCACTTTTTCTAATCAACCAAAAACCTGCACGAGCAGCGGCTGTAATTTAACTAATTTGTATCTGTGTGTGCTTTGTAGTGCCTTTGTCTGTCTCTATGAGTGTGTGTGTGTGTGTGTGTGTGTGTGCACTTAAGCTTTCTGCAATTGTCTCCGTTGCAAGTCTCAACTGCCAAGTGGCAGCTGGATTGTCAACTATGTGCATAGAAATTGCGTTTTAAACATAAGTAAAACATAATTCTATTTTAGTGGGTTGATTTGAGTACCTATACTTACTTTCGTAAAGATCTTTCAAGAAATATTAAAGAAATTAAAGAAATTGATAATATATTTAACAGTTACCTTATTGCGTTACTATTGATCAAGCTGTGCAACCCTTTGTAAGTGTATAAGAAGCTGCCATTTGCATTACAAAGTAGTTTTGCTGACCAATTCGGAGGGAAAATGCTAATATCGATAGTGGAATAGTTATGAGAGTGCGCTGCCTTTTGCCACGCCTTTTAGGGAGCACAATCAAATGTCAATTATGCAGATTTTATGCAGTTAGCATTGAAAAATACTGAAAAACTTTGTTTGCCAGCACTTTTGCTTTTTGTCCTGGCACTGTACTCCAGAGTCTTTTGTTCGTTGTTTACCAGCGTCTAGACGTTTATTGTGATTTGGCGTGGGCTTCCTGAAAACGCATTGTTTGCTAGTTGGTCCAGAGAGTAGAACAGTTGATAAAAGCGGTTAACTCGTTTTTTGGCAAATGACTGGCACTGGAACTGTTTCCAAAATCGCTTGGCAAACCAAACAATGCTACAACTTTATAATTGTAAATGCATTGTGTGCAAAGTTTCTTTTTTTTGGCAACATTAAAAGACTTTTCGGTTTAAGATTATGAAGTGTGAAGCTAAGAAAGATTAAAACTGCTACTCACTGGAGGAATTTAGTTTTAAGTATATTGAACTTGTTGTCTTGGCAAAACGTAGTTGAACCTTTCTATATAATATATATGATTTTCCATCCCTTGCTGAAAACCACATAGTCTAACGCAAAATAAGGCTCTTTATGCAATATATTTTCAAACTTGAGCGAGACCCTTAAGCGGAAAAGTCATTTTGACTTAATTTAACTGACGTTTATGTTTAATACATTGTCAGAAACATATACCACTTGTTTGTAGCTTTCAGTTTATTTGCATTTCCCCAGCGGTTCAAAACGAGCAATCTAAATGGGGCACCTGTGCCAAAAACTAACTACTTACTGTACGCATTTCACTGAGTTATTACAGAAGAAAACCACTTCCAACAGAAACTATGCAAATAACTTGGGGGTAATCCTTCCACTTGAGACGACAGGCGATGCCTTCGCATTTATCTGGCTGGCTTCGCTTGGCTTCTTGGAATCCCCACATGAATAATTACAACGCAGCCAGTTCATTTAATTTTCACTTTCAGTCTTAAGGCATCCCTCAGTCAAACCCTTTCTTGGGGGTGTGTTTGGCAAGAAGCGGCACATGAATAAAAATATTTAATGAAGAAATTTATAACAAACTTTCACAAATGGCAGCAGCAGAAGTGGCAGCATTTTAAAAATTATGAACATTAAATGTAAATTAAGCTAATCAATTAAGCCGTAACGAAATGTACCCAAAAACAGTGCCAGCAAACAGGCAAACAGGCAAACCGGCAAATGCTCGAGTTCAAAGTACCCGGCACACATTTCTGGGCCATTTCACGTTGTGCAATTAGGCAAGAAATGAGTGGCTGAAAGTCGATAGTCAACGCCCCTCCCCCCAAAACAGCAGCCCACTGTAATGACCGATATTAATGATTAAGTCGAATGGAGGTGGGAGTTGAGGTGTTTTCAGTTGCGTTAAGTGGCATGCAATGCCAACCCTTTTGCTGTCGTCTCCATCGTTGTAGTTGTCGTTGTCGTTGCGTGTTCCTCTGGAATTTGTGCGAATTCAACACTGACTTGGACTCAATTATTATAGGTCAGCATTGCGTTAGTTGAACCCCCTTTGATGGTTGCATTGTTGGCTTAATGACTTGATATTAATTTGACTGGCATTATAGCTCCTACTTCTGACAAATTGTAGACGATTAGCCGTTAGGCTACATTATGCTATTATTTAAGCAAACAATGCCGAGTACATGTATCGTAGGATTCTAAGGTGGTTCAACTGAAGCTTGGCTCGTTAAAAGTAATCCTAACTGCCTGTCATTAGTTCGATGGGCAGATTGACTGCGTGTTTGCCTAACAAGTTATCTTTAGATACAATTTCTGAACGCTGTTGAAGGATGCATGTTGATTGCTTATCCATCCGTCTATCAACTGTTAAATGGTACGATTTCTTAGGAATTGATAACCATACAGAAAATATACTAAATAATATTAATCTGTAGAGTTTAAGTTACTGGTTAAGGCAAATCAAATAAGCTAACAGATTGCAGATTGTAGAAAGTTGGCCATTTTTCATTTAGATGCTCAGCTCAAACATTTTAATGTATTGAGATAAGCCTAACGCCAAGTTATTGTCAGATGGCTTAGGTTAGCCTTTACAATATTTATAGACCAATATATATTTGATGCCATCCATTTATCATCTATTTTGGCAATCAATTACGTAAATGCTTTTATGGCGCCATTGCGAGGGCCAAGAAATTTTATCCTAAACGACATTTTAAGTTTAATTGGCCAAATAATAGTTATCGTTTCTGCACTGAAGCCAAAAATGGCACAATGAAATTTTAATGGGCACCTCAAACGAACTGTAAAATCTACCAAAATCAACAATGCGACAGTAAAAATGGCGCCAACCGCTGCGTCCTTCGGTTTGAATGGGCCTAATCAAATTAAGTACTAATCCTTGGGAAAAACCGCGAATAATTTCAAATGATTGTAAGTAAATTTCCCAAAACAATTAAATGTCACAACTCAGAATTTCCGACGAAGGAACAGCTGTTTAACTCACACTCAGAGAGTGAGTGTGACAGAGACATCGCTAGAGAGAAACAGAGAAACTTTGCTGGGAGAGGAACCTGCGCAATGAGAGCCGAGTAAAATGGCAAAAGTTGATTTTTTTATAGCATGCGATAAATGCACTTGTCGCATGCGTTTGTGTCTGCATTTTAATTACTTGGCCAAGACATTTGCATATGTGAGCATGTAAGAGTTGAGTTGGCTAAAAGAAGACGCCGAGAAGCTGGTCATAAAACCAAGACAAGTAGCCATAATGACATGGCCCATCTGGTCAGGGCTAGTAGTTTCAAAGTGGTTGAACAACTAAGCACCTACCCAAGGATAATCCATTTACCTGTGCAAAATTGTTGCACACCAAGTATCTATGAGTGGTTGTTGTGGGTTAGGATGCGGATGGGGATGGGAATGGGGTCGGGGTTGGGGTGATGCTAAAGCAACTTTTGTAAACAACAAGGTTGCATGTACGCTGAGAAATTGTTTTATTACCAAGCGTTGAGAGCGTGTTGACTGAAAAACAAAGGTGCGCACAATAAATTACATTGTTACACGGAACTTGGCAGTGTCTGCAACGGGCACCAACGGACGCGCGGCAGGCGACGGACACAGGACGGACGCAGGAAGTCAGCAACAAGCGTCACGTTAATGAAAAGGATTTTCTCCCATATGTCTGCAGTTAGTTGCCAACTCACCCAGCCAGCCACCTTGTCCCCCTCAGTTCACCTTTCGGCCTCTCACTCATTGCATTATATTCCGTGTGTGTACTTGAAATGACTTTGTCCCGAGGTTATTTAAATATTTAAAGGACGACACATTGAAGATTACGTTCTTAGCTCTGAACTGAATGGTAAATGCCCTTTGATGTTTTAGCCATTAGTAGAGGTTTAGACTTTGCATAAATAACCAAAAGATTCATTAGAAAGTGTCGCTTTATAGCCAACTCGTTTTTGGGGTTTGTTCTTAGTTTTGCGGTTAGTTTCTGGGCGGATGTTAATGATACGTCTGATGTTTGTGTGCTTTGAGTGAAAGTGTCATAAGTCATCTGTGCAAAGTGAGGCTAACAAAGTTCCATGACGGACCACAAAGTAAGCAGAAAATGCCAGCTGTAAAGTGGGAATGTTTCTGACTGTGGTTAAAATTTGTGATGAATTTGTCATGCGCTCTATTAGAAAAGGAAACGTATAAGAGACGAATTGATGTTATGGAAATATCCACATTAAGGTTAAATAGAAAACGGCACAACGCCTATTTATTGTTACCTAACTACAGATGTATTTAATCTACTCCTTCGAGATAACTCTAAAATACTAAACGAACTTCTTGAAATGTAAAATTTCAAGTCGAAGCAACCAAAATACAAACAAAACATGTTTAGAAGGAATTCAAAAAAATCACGACCAAAATTCAACATTTGTCAATAGAAAACAAATTTATCTTTAACTTCAACTCAACCAGTTCGCACTAAAATTCGTTAACATAATGGGATCCATAGTGAGTGAAATGCAGCAGCCGATTGTGTTTGTCAACATGGACTCGCCGGCGGCGCAGTTTGTACGCCAGACGATCAATGATAACAAAGTCGTTATCTTCAGCAAGAGCTATTGTCCGTACTGCAGCATGGCCAAGGAGCAGTTTCGCAAGCTGGATGTGAAGGCCCATGTGGTTGAGCTAGATTTGCGTAGCGATGGCGAGGAAATTCAGGCAGTGCTGGGTGAGATGACAGGAGCTCGGACTGTGCCACGTTGTTTCATCAATGGCAAATTTGTGGGAGGTGGCACCGATGTGAAACGTCTCTGCGATCAGGGTATATTGCAGAAATATTTCCAGTGATATGCGACAGATAAATACCTTGCGGTTAGAAGCTTCGTTTAAAACAGAAATAAAACCAATTTATTTATCGAAAAACTACGTAAATACCATTTTTTATTCAGCCAAATCCCCTGAAGGACTACTTAAAAGTCAACTGTTGTATTCACAGCAGAAATCGATGAGCCAAATTACGCATACGACACGTATGTGCATATATGGGCTTTTATTGTTTTTATTGTTAACGCTACACCTGCAACAAGACAAATAGAATGTTGAACGATTTTATGGAACAGTCAACTACAAATTCAACGATTGAAATTGTCAACAAATTTCAACAGCAATTTGCCAGCGCAAATTCAATCAATTATTTGGTTATTTGGCTCAAAGAAATGGCCTTTGACTTCGACGACAGTCTAGACCATGCGACGACTGGGAAACTAAGAACTTGGGTGCAGTCGAGACAACGCGACGTATGCATGATATGAAGTGCTGCCTTTAAATGGTTTCAATTTTTTGTTTTTTTGTTTCTTTCATGTTGGCCTCATGTAAGTTTAATGACAGTCTGGACTGTCGGCCAGCCCCTGACCGCCTGGCGTTCACCCTGAGCTGTTATGTTGCATGTAAATGTGCTGCAGAGTATTTTTTTAAAAGCATAAAAATTGTGACAAAGATGCCGAGCTTCATTCATTGTTTATTGCCTTTGCCAGCTGAAAGGCGAGGCGCGCGAGTCTTTTGCAGGATAAGAAGAACAACAGAAGACTCTCGTCTGGCTACATTAAGCATGCACAAAAAGGCTGTGCATCCTGCATGCAGGTGTGCAGTAACTGAAATGCCATCCACACGCTTTACTACCGCTTGCCTTAATTGTTTTGCCGTTCCTTACAATCAGAATCAGTACGTCCATCTCCCTCCCACCCCACCGGATGCAACAACTTAAGCATCATATTGAGCAGATAAAGGCAGTGTTGTGCCTTTGTTGTTGCCACTGCTGCATTATTTTTCCACGCCTTTTGTACTGCATAAATAAAGCCGCTCGGCGTTTTCGGTTTGCCTGTCCATAGAAAAAGAATGAACTGAAGTTATATATATAAATATATTTATATCGTTTAAGCTCCTTAAAAAATTGAATTAAATTTATCTGTTTTGAGAAAGCTTAGTAGAAGTGTTTAAGTCGAAGGAGTTCGTTTTGAGAAAGCTTAGTAGAAGTGTTTAAGTCGAAGGAGTTCGTCTCGAAGTTATCCTGCTAACAGTTCCAGGTTAAAAACCACATTTTCCCCTTCAATTACCGACAATTGTCTTGGTAGATAAATCTCCTCAAACATATCCATTCCTTGCTCGCAACTCGTTCTACTCGTTCAATGCACATGTCAAGTCATAAATACGCTTTTCTATCCACTTTATTGATAGTGGGTATGAAGGACGCGTAATTGCTGCACTTGGCTCTTGGAATTTGTAATCAAAATTTCGGCCAAAGCCACCAAAGCCAAAAACTAATAATAAACGCTTAATAAATCGTCTATCAAAAGCCTGGCTGCCAGAGTTGCCGCTGCACTGCGCACAATGCAGGCTATATATATATATATATATATGATATATGGTCTAGCCAATGTCTGTCTGCTTTCAATTACAACCTCAACTCAACACCAACTCCCACATTGGATGCCTGTGTTTGTCCAAACTGAAAAACTTCACCCGAAAAAAAAGTGCTCACAAACTATGCGTCCTTTTATTAAAACCGCAATTCAGTCAAGCGAAAGAAAATCGACTAATAAAATTTTCCTGTTGTCTAAAATGGAGTTAAAGCCATGTTAATTGTGGGCGTGGCTGGGCAATGAGTGAGTCTAGTCTAACGCCAGCATAAATCATAAATTGTAATCACATTGTTTGACAAACAAAATTAGTAAAATTGCCGAAAGAACTGTGGACGGAGAAATACCCTGTGGTTGGTGTGTGATTTAATATAATTGTAGTCTTTAATTTCCTCTTCTCTATTTAAAATATAGGTTTGCAAAAGAAAAACAGATATTTTGATTATTGCTTATATTTTGTAATTATAAACAGTGAACCTCTAATCATATCCATATAGCCAGGGTATATTGGCACTAACGTCTTGTGATATTGCCCATAAAAATGACCATGAAATGTCTGGTAGCCAACTGAAGAGGATTGACCATTAGCATGGCCATAAAACTAGGCGACAATGTTGCATCAACATTTAATTGCATCGCTAATTGAAGTGAGGCAGATAGTCAAACAGATCCGAGTATATCTAATGTCCCAATCAAAATGTAAAATGCCATTTTTATTGTGTTTGTCAAACGGTTGGCATCGTCAATGCCAAAGCAAATTAAAACCGAGTTAACGCCGGCAGCTGAATGAATTTATACACAGGCAAAATGCTGGGCTGCATAACAAAAATCCAAGCACCCTTCCACTACCAAAACAAAAAAAAAAAAAGAAGAGAAATAACAAAAATCCAAAATTATGGCCAAGTGCTGGATCGTAAAAAAAATTTCCATTGCAGTTGTAAATGCTGCGTGCTGGTGGCAAGTACTACAAAAATATGTATGAATGTATAGCCATAACCAGTTTTTACGCTTGATAAGTCAGACAAAACAGAGAAAACAAGGAAACTTTGTATACAACTGCTATAGCAACATTGTGCATTCATAATGCTTGAAGTGTGAGTCCCGAAATGGTCTTCAGTTAAAGCTTTGTTTAGCACTTAGTTGCATACCAAGTTATTGCAGCTAAAACGCAGAGAGAGTGAAATATTATGATGTGCTTGGAATTATTGAGCTCACTCAAAAATTAGCCTATTTTATCAACTCATAAATTGTTGTTCGTGATAAGTCAAGTTTATGAAATGATTTTGCAAAATTGACTAAAGTACAAAATGTAGTGTTTGAAGGAATAAATGCTTTGTTAAGTCCGATGATTAATGTGCTGGCATAATTGTGTATACAATCTACAAATACATATGTACCGTATTATATATGTACATATATTATTTGAGTGACCATTGCATGCCAGGTGAAATGCTAGACACACCAGGGACACCAATGCCCATGCTGAAATGGACCCCCAACTTGAAGCGTGTCCAGACGAAGCAAGCCCAATGTTTTTCATGCTAACCATGTGTTTATAGCTATGTATATAGTATATAGATGATATACATATGTACAGGTGTAGTGTATCCTGTTGCTTTCGTGTTAACAGCACCAGCAATAGGAACTGAAAGGAACGATGCAGCAAGGACCAACAACGACAACAACAACAACAACAACAACAACAACAACAACCCCGACAAGTTACAATGTCACGCACACAGACTTCCTGTCATTCTAGCGTTTATTTCCTCACTACGCTTTATATTTATATATTTTTTTATCGCATCCTTGTTAACACGTGCGTTTCCCTATTGTTGTTGCTATTATTATTGCTATTATTGTTGTTGTTGGTGTTGTGTGTGCGTGTGTGGTTGTGTGTGTAATGTTGCAGTGCGTCGTGTTGACCGTGCCCCAGGCTATTCAAGTTTATCAACGCAACGATCTTTGTTGGATGGGTAGGGCAAGGTTTTGGATTGGGTTACCCGTTGAAGTCTAGTGTAAAAACAAAGAAATATGTACAAATATAATATGATTATATGTTTGCATGACATGTTACGTGCAAGTGTCGCTTTGAAAAATTTTAACACATTTTGTTCCAACCTTTCGGCATGTTGCGTGCTTAGGGGATGATGATATTGACGATTGAGAAATGAGAGCTTAATTTGCTTAATTCCATTAAATACCACACATGTAATTTGGAAAAGATTAAGAGCTGCACTATGCATAAATTTTCAACTCACAATATAACTTCAGCTATAACTTTGAAGCCACAATCAAAATGCTTAAGTGCTGAGTTAGCTGAAATTAATCAGAAAATTTGTTAGCAACTTCCAGGCTTACCAGAAGACAAGTATCACAAGTCTTACCCTCTTCGTGTCCCCAGAGTAATTTCCAATGAGTAATTTGATACCGTACGATAGCTTTTTGGGAAAACTTTTGGATTTGAGGCCATTAATCAATTAATTAAGCATTTTATGAATATTTCACCCACAAAGCGGGAAATTGGCATTATAATCGCCGGGGAGCGGGCATAAAATTCTCATGCTGACAGTCGGCCCACAAGGAGTTACCTTTTCGAGGGCCACTTAACAATGCACATGAATATTTAATGCAAATGGCGAATAGCTAAAAGTTATGTGGCTTGCGGTTGGGTTCGCCTATGACCTGAGTAGTCCTGGGAGTAGTGTGAGTGCCTCAAGCTGCCCAGGAGCCGTGGAGCCTGTGCCTGGTCCCGGCATAAGGCATAATCGAGCGCATGATGATGGTGCTGACGATCTGCCGTTGACGCAGGATAATAAGTGGAAGCTATGCACAGAAAGGGATAATGACTTGAACCCCCCCCAAACCAAAGAAGTTGATGAAAGCGCCAGCGTCAAGCGAAGGCGACCCACCATCTTCCTAACGAAGAACAAAACTTTATGACTAATTAATTAAATGCGCTATAAAAATTTTCGTTGTTCGCCGTCTCACGGTAAACTTTATGCATTTCCGAACCGTGAAAAATGAGCGCCAGCAAAAAATAATTATTTAAGCAAGCAGCGGAAAAAAGAAAATTAACTCAGCAGAGAGAGAGAGAGAGAGAGTGAGAGTGAGAGAGAGAGAGAGAGCGAGAGAGAGAGAGAGAGAGAGTGACAAACCGTTTGAGTTATGTGCACAACAAGATTTGCCAGCATCGCTCATAAACTGTTGGCCAAATATGCAGGTGTGTTATTTTTTTATTTTGCGCACATCTTGGCCAAAGTTTTTAATGAGTTTGCCAAATGCTGCAAAATGCGCAGCTAAAATGCCATCACTTGGCTTAGGGTCTTTGCTTTCGAGTTATTTCTGTTCAATTATGTTGGTTGCCAAAAGTTCATCAAGTAATATTCACAAAAAAATGTCATTTAATGGTTTTTTTTTGTTAAACTCGTCCTCGTAATCGTAATCGATCAAATACAAAACTTAATTTTTAATCTTTAAGCGAAAAAATGCAATTAATAAATAGTTTTT